CTCATGCTGCACACGCGACCTTAAACCCTAACCAGCAAAACAACCCTATGCGACCTATCGTCTAGTATCCCCCCTGGTAACCCCTATACTACTCCCCTATATGCTCCCCTAGATAACCCCCTTTCAGGAGTGTAGACTACAGCGCATATACCCTAAACCCTAAACCCTAAACCTTAAACTCTACACCCTAAACCCTACACCCTAAACCCTACACCCTATACCCCTAAACCCTATACCCCTAAACCCTACACCCTAAACCCTAAACCCTAAACCCTATACCCCTAAACCTCTAAACCCCTAAACCCTAAACCCTAAACCCTAAGTCCTGGAGGAGCTCCTGGATGGGCTCCGGGAGTGGGTTCTGGGTTTCCTCCGGCAGAAGCAGAGTTGGGGATCCTCTTGGCGCAAGGAGGCGCGCATCAACTTCTTGGGGTAATATTAGGGGTAGTATATAGGGATTATATAGGGATTAAATAGGGATTATATAGGGATTATCTAGGTAATATATAAGGATTATATGGGGAGTATATAGGGTCATATTTGGGGTTATGTTGGGATAATGGAAACTAAAATGGAAACTACTATTTAGGGTTTAGGGTTTAGGAGGGTTTCCCAAAATTGGGGGTACTTTTTAAGGGTCCCCGTAATAAGGATGAAAATATCTTGGGGTCTATTTTGGGGTCCCCCTATTTCGGGAAACTACCACATATCTTCTATCCTCGGAAACAAGGTACATTAGGGATCCTTACTATCTGGTGTAGGATATCCTCCGTCCACAACACCGTCCCGCCTGTTTCCTGGAAGAAGCTTTTACAGCGCGCACCGCGTCGGCGACCCTGGCAGGGCACGGACGCTGGGCTTTGCTACGCTTCTCTACTCGGGCACCACGGCGTGTAGAGTATGTAGGCCCACTATTAGACACGGACACGGTATGTCCCCCAATATATTTGGGCTACTCTATAGTGGACGTTTATTTCATGTCAGGGGCGTGGGGCTTGCTTCTCATCTGGAGAAAGGACTAATCATCATTATGACTGACATCTCGTTCATCGCGATGGTAGCGTCGGCGGTGGCTACTGCAGTGGCCGTGGCAAAAATAGGAGCACAGGCAGGAGCAGGTGCACTTCACCTTCAGCTTTCGGCTTAAGCTGGGCTTCTGCGCTTGTAGATTGCTGAATTACGTTTGAGAATATGGATGCATGTTTTCCAGGGGTGCATATTGTATCTGGGATGCGGCCTTCCAGGTCTTCCTTGGTATTGCATGCAGGTTTGTTGATTAAGTGCCCAATCACTGTGGATGGGGCAGAATTGATTTGCTAGGGCCTTGGAGTTTAGGGTTTAGGTGCCTGCACAGGATCAGGACAGCCTACTCTTAGAACTGAAAAGGGACGCCATGTTGAAACCTGCAAAAATGCACCACGATGCATAATCACAAACCCTTTCCACAAGAGGGGTCGGGCTTAGGGTTTGGAACATGGAGAGGCTTTACGGTGTGCTCCCCTTGTCATATAATGAATACTCTCTTGGGGTATTTAATATCAACGGATTGTATAATGATACTCTTTTGGTTTATTAGGGGGGGTGATCAAAACCAGCGAGAAGGTATACCCGGCGCGGGACTGGACTGCCTTCATCCGCTACCCAGTCCAGCTTGTGGGGCTCTTATGGATTCGGGGTTCAGGGTTTAGTGTTTAGGGTTTAGGGTTAGGAGAACCCATGATATATATATTAGCCAAAAGGGTTCCGCATACAATAATCGTATTCTTTGCGGTTGCTGAATCATTCTGATGCTTCCTTTCTTCGATCTATGAGACCTTGTACTTCGATGCTCTTCGTGTGGTTTTCGCACTCGATGTCAAAAGAAAACGGCCCACTACCATTCCCGTCACATTGTCGCTTCCTACTCATCCTCCCCTTGAACCCTAAACCCTGAACCCCTTCATCATCACAGCATCAACTGCAGCTCAGGACGTTTCGGGATTCAGAACAAAGTTGGGAATTCTCCATCGCAACTCCCGAATCTGGATATTAAACTTATGCCCTGAACCCTTTATCCTGCATCGTGAGCCATAAGCCCTCAAACCCAGAGCCCCCAGCACGGAGACATTTAGCCCGGAATCCTAAATACTAAGCCATGGCCATAGCCCTTAACAACGCGCTTCTTCAGGTGCCCAGGAAGCAGGCGCTGCTCACCTCTGGAAACTCGATCCGGCTGTGAGACAACCCAAGCCGGTTGAATGGGATCCCCCTTGCATAGGGTCCAAACATGGAACCCTTCGAAAATGTACCGCAAGACAACTAGGAGAGCTTGACAACACCGTAACCGCTCACAGTGACCATTAAAAACACCACATCATGTTGAGATACTCCCGTATGAACCCAAGACAATACAGCTTAGGCTGCCTCAGGCACCTTCAATTGGAGCACAAACTTGAGAATCACACTAAGAGTCTTGGAACACAGGTGAGACGCATGTCTTCAGCGGATGCTCAGCTGGCAAAGAGCCGAAGACGATGCCACGCATATGATCAATTTGTCCATGCACCTCGCGTGTTCATGATAATTGTTGAATCGTTTTGGATGCCATAATGCCTGGCCGTCACGCCTGCTTGCAAATATCGGCCCATACCAGTGAGATAGAAGCCGGACTGATGGCATTCGGTGCGCTCTGCAATCAGGGATTGGATGGTCGAAATGTCAGCATCTAGATCGAAATGCATCACCCTGGTCCTGCCGTTGACGTCCTTCACAAACACTTGGACCTTGTCTCCAGAGGGTGTTGCGAGAATCCGCAACTCTGCTGTGGCGTGCTTGAGCTGTTGCTCCAGCGTAGTGACACCTGGGTTGCACTCCAAATCAGTACTTTGGGTTGGAAAACCCTACATAAAGAAAGAAAACTCGAAACGAAACTTTGTCTCAAAATGATGGGCCATGACGGTAGTACAACAACCCCATGCGAAACTCCTTTACTACCCCGCCCCCAGTAATACCAACAAGGAGGACATGACTGTCCAGTCCCTACCAGTAAGTTGATAAAGAAACCCTCAAACTTGTCTGGGGAAATCCTTTTGGGGGTGACAGGGCCCTGAAACCCTACGCAGGCCCCAACCGCCCGAATGGTGGACCCCAATCACTAAGCGCTAAAATGTGCCATCTACTTACCGGTGTTTATTGGGGGGGAGTGGGGCGGACTATTGCAATGTATTACATAGAGATTTTCATAGGTATCCAGGTATCCACTGCTCAGAAAACCCCTCAACAAGAGGAAGTAGTTTCAATTTCTTTCCATCCCCATCCCCAATACTAGAGCAGTTCCCATTTTCTTTTCCAGTCCCCCAGATGTCCCTGTATAATCCCTTTTACGATCGTTAACAAAATTGCTTCAATTGTTGGGAATCTAGAGGCTGTTCTGCAAACCACGAATGCGGCTTTGCTGTTGCGCGCCCAGCAGCTTTAGATTAGCCTCTTCATGGTAAGGCTGAGGGCTTAGGATTTAAGGCTTAGGGCTTAGGATAGGGTTTAGGGCTTAGGATTTAAGGCTTAGGGCTTAGGATAGGGTTTAGGGCTTAGGATTTAGGGTTTAGGGCCTAGGATGGGGTTTAAGGCTTAGGATTTAGGGTTCAGGGCTTAGGATGAATTAGCCCAATGCGTTTGTCTCGACGCGGGAGATGAAAAAAAAGGACCCACCAAAAATAGGGGCCTGCAGTATGCACGCAACCAAGCAGACAATCATGGTTTTTGAGGCAGAAAAGTACATGCGGTTCTTGTACTAGAGAAATAGGTTGATGTTACAAGACTGCAAATGATAGTGTTTTAATTGTATATCTTCTCCTGCGCCCTAAATCTCTTGGACGCTACGTGCCTTCTCATTCTCCAAAGCGATCGCTCGAGCATTCGCTGTTTCTAGCAGGGTCCGTAGGCGTCCTAAGTCAATCACGAGATTCTGGCAGCCCCAACCCCAAATCAGGACGCTATAACTATCATATGCATATGATGAGGTCCTATTTACAGGAATGGGGCCTATTATGAATGTGCCCGGATCAGCGATTCGCTCAATTCCCGCTAGGACTATAGTGAAGATCATTTATTGTAGAGCTTTCCTATTGAAATGTTTCATGTTTCACCGTGTTGTCCTTAAACTGATGTCTTAAACTTTGGGACGATAGTCGTAAGCTAACATGTGGCGTCCGACCTGATCTTTAAATGCGTCGGAAGGATCCGTAACACCCTAAAACCAATACCAAACATGATTACCCTATTATTGCCTATTATGATATAAGAATTTCCATTTCCTTTTCCATTATCCCTATATAGTATAACTCCTATATATACATATATATATATATATATGTCTCAAGAAAGGTGTGACATAAGGCCCAGCTGCGGTTCTCCAATACCGGACAGGAAGCTTCGTGAGCAGTCGCGTCCACTAATCTGCCTGTCATTTGCCATAACCCAAACCCCTGACTTATAAACCCCTCTCCTTAATAGGGATTCTAATAGAGATCCTAATATTAAGGCCCTAAAAAGGAGGGGTCCTCTTAATTAATCATGGCTCTACATTAGCGCTTTTACTACGTTCCACCCGCTGACACTGGCACCCCTGCCGCTGTCACCAAATCAGCAATAATAGCAGCAACAACAGCCTCAGCAGCAGAAGCAGCGGAAGCAGCAACAACAGCAGTAGCAGTAGCAGCACTTTCAGCCGTAGCTGTTGCAACTACTGCTGGTGGGGTGGACGTGCTTATGCCTCCCCAACCTCAACAAGCTCCGCTCCCAGCCCCGCACGAAGAGCTCCCCAAGATTTCGAGTGTCGGCGAGCTGTGAAGATGCATTGATTAGCTTTCAAGTCGAATTAGTGGGGAAAATCTTGCTAGAGCGTGAGCTAGTACCAGTGCCGCCACTACACCCAACACTGCTGCAAGTGCTAGTGACTTTAACGCACGGTCCTACCACTGTAATTACTGCCCCGATTAGAACTTAAACTTTGTAAGCTCTAAGCCCCTGCAGCGCCTGTCCATCCGCATCCGGATGCTTTATAGTCGCATCTGACCTGCAGGTCATCAAGTAGAGCTCGAAGCGGTTGGCATGGCCTCAACTGACCAGCATCAAGCGCCACCCTGCAGAGAGGGCATTGCGGCTGGACACCCAGGGCGCGATTTATGCAAGAAGCACAGAATACATGCTGGCAGTTGACTGCACACAATGGCTCAGCAAAGACGTCAGTGCAGATCACGCAGCGCAATCCTGCAGGAACGCTGCGGGCATCCACGAGCTTCTCATCAGAAATCCCCATCCAAGAAGCTGGGAAGGAAGTCGAAGCAAGCGCTAGAGCCCTAGGACAGCTTCTTACCAAAGCATAGTTGTTGCCATGTTTGTTTTCACGTCTTCGCCTACTATCTCGAGAGCCCATGTTGGTGTTTGCTCGGTTTGTGAACTCTAGGAAGGTCTTCGCCCATCATGGCCTTCACTGCTGAGATGGCCCTCGCGCACGAACAAGTGGAATCTAAACTCCGGCACAGGCATTTCTGAAAGATGGGGGCCTGCCATAATGAGAGGACCCTCGAGGTGGGGCTTTCTAGGGCAACATAGGGTTCAGGGTTTGCTGACGGTTTCAAGGGGGTCCGATATTTCACATAGCGCTTGCTCGTCTAACGTTCCACAAGGAAACTGGAACCGTAGGTAGCGGCTGTTGAAGGACAACTGCTAAGACTAGATGCCTGTAGAAATACCAACATGATGTCGAGGGCTGTTTGAGGTACCCGATACCAGAACCGCACAAGTAAGTTGGGATCACCATACGTTAAATACTTTTCATCATCTAGGATTTTGCACCAGGTTCTTGCCAATGAGTTGCCGGTAAACACCCCCAGGATTCTGTGGGGGCGCGAATAATTTGCAGATCTCGGAAAGTAGACGGAACAAACTTAAGCCCAGTGTATGGAAATGCTCCTGGACCCTCTGCAGGACTATTTCGGAATATCTTGAGGAACTTCCACGTGAAAACGCTTGAAAACTAGATACCAGGATTCCAACCATGTTAGTAGAGGAAGTCGGCCACGCCTCGCACAAAACATGCCTCAAAACCTTGCACCCCCACACACTTGAACCCTGCGGTTTACTATTTGAACCATAGTCTTAACTCCTAGTATCCCCCTGAACAGCCCCTATAATACTCCGCTACAGAAACCGCTATAGAACCCCCTTTAAGCAGTTTAAACTACAGCTCATCTAGGGTTTAGGGCGAAACCTGTTAAATCCTAAGCCCCAACAATATATATATATATATAGAGAAAGAGATGTATTTATAGGGGTTATACAGGGCTTTATAAGGATAATGGAAAAGGAAATGGGAACTACTATATTATAATAGGCAATAATAGAATCCTGAGCCCCAACAGTAGCCTCTCAACCAAGGAAGCTGCGTCTGCTTTGGTTGCCTGTCAGCAGGTACCCTCTCTCCCGGGCTAGCATGGCAACAAATTAGGGTTTCGGCTTTAGGGCTTAGGGTTCGAGTTTTAGGCTTTAGGGTTTAGGTTTTAGGGTTTAGGGTTCAGGCTTAGGGTGTAGGTTTTAGGGTTTGAAAGGTCGTGAGGCTTTGGAGTTTGGGTTTGAATGTTTAGGGTTCAGGCTTAGGGTCTAGGTTTTAGGGTTTGAAGGTCCTGCAGGAATGGAAAAGAATTCAAAAGCTAATGAGAACTTCTAGAATATTTCGGCTTTAGGGGCTAGGGGAACTCGCCTCGGTACCTTTCAAAAAGGTAGCAGCGGCTTCCGCTTCAAATTCAAAAGTTAATGAAAACTTCTAGAATATTTCGGCTCTGTAGGGATTACGGAAACTCACCTCGGCACCTTTCAAAAAGATAGTAGCAGCTTCCGCGTCAATCTCCACGAGGGTAACATCTATAACCCAATTGGGCTAAAACCTAAACCCTAAGCCCTCAACCCCCAAACCAAAAAAACCCTAAATCTCTAAACCCCTACACCCCGAACCCTAAACCCTGAGGAGATTTCTGAGGCGTATAAAAAACTCAAGCTGATAGGGTTCAGGGTTTAGGGTGCAGGGATTAGGGTTTAGGGTTTATGGTTAGGGGCCTGAAAAGAAAAATAATGATGAGGTTTAGTCGAGATACCCTGTGCCAGATAGCTGTAGAAGACATCTAGGACCATAATATGGGTAATTCTCCAGGCTTCTACGTGAAGTGCGATATTGAGAAACGACTCCCGCATCTGGAAACTAGCTCGAAATCATGGTGTCAATAATCAGCACACACACTTTATCCTGGTTCCCACAACTTGCGTAGCATACTTAACACGAACTGGATCTCCGCGTAGACATGAATACACAGCATGTTGGCTTTTAAGGTTTAGGTCCTGGGGGGGCCACGCTGGAACTTTGGCTGCTGGACGTGGACTACAAGGCGACACCTTTGCTATTTGTTCAGGTCTCCGTTTCTATGTCAGGATTGGAAAGGGCAGCTTCTTGTCGCTTGTGATAGGAAGTCTACCATTTTGAAACCTGTGTATATATAATATGTTTCATGGGGCTTTCAAAAATTAGGGATCCCTTTTTGGGGGTCCCCCTAATAAGCACTGTAGTATATTAGGGTCTATATCGGGTAACCCTATTAATCCGGCCCCATGCCACTAAGGGTTTCGGATGTAGGGTTTCGTGAAACCTCTGAAATGAGCAAAAGTGCACTAGTGCCAAAACTCGCATTATCATAAAGACATCTTGGCCTGACTTTCATATGAACCAACATTGGGGAATCAAGTTTCCAAACTTAACACTATGACGAAAACATGTTATTGCTTGTTGTCAAGGCTTCTAGTCCTTGGCCT